CCCACTGATTGTGCCGACTTCTTTATCTGAGATGCTTAATCTGCCCCACTTGAAATGGACTTCTCTCACTTCCCCACTTCCAACTATATATAATCAAATACATTTCTCCGCTTTCAAATTAAGAATGAAACTAAGAGACTACCTACACTAATCATTTATAGTCTGCCTATTATGATAAAAAAGGATTAATATTGCTTTTAATGACCTCAATCTTTGACGACTACATGGACACATCTGCATAGTTGTCTTGACTGTAATATTAAAGTGATTTGTCATTGTATGCCTGCAGGATACTTTTTTTTACTTCTCATTCTAGATTATAGCCCTAACATTTCTTTATAGATTCACATAAATACTAGCCCAATCTGACCCTTTATAATCTTTCAGCATCACCAAGTTCAACTACGTGCACGCATAAGACATTAAAAAAAATCATAGGTATGAGTAGCCTTGTAACAAGATCAGTTTAATGAACAAGTGTAATGCAGATATCAGTGAGAAATACCATATTTCTATTTCTGCATATAGGTGCTCTAAATATATGATGTAGGCATTTGTAAGGAAAGAAATCTATGGTGATAATCCGTGTTAAATTCCTTTTTTGGGAGGGGGGTAGAGTTTAGCTAACCCTTTGTTCTTTTGCATTAGTCTAAAGGCACAAGAATCAGCTATCTATTATGCATACAATATAATATGTAGTTGGTTCCCCAAATTGGAAATGGCATGAACACACATTGAAGAAAGTTACTGAGAGATGCTACAGTTTAAAAAAAACATTATGAGCTAATTTTAGTTGTCACATGTCAAGTTTAAACCTTCACATTCTTCACAGATTTCTTATCTGGGAGAGGTGTATGGTTGCATTAATTCCATGCTTGAGGCTCTTTTTTTCTTTTAAGAGGAATGGCTAAATTAAGGATAGCTAAATGTTTAAAAATACCAAAGTATAACTGCTACCGGTATATCATTTCAACAAGTGACAGTTTCATAATAAAACAAAATCTGGCAATTTCATATTATCCAGTTTCTACATATTTCAAAATGCAGTTGTTGACTTGAGGCAAAGAAGACAATGATCTTGTGTTCATTTCCGAAAGATGTTTCTTAAGTTTTAACAGAAAACTTTGATCCCTTTTCCCATAAAGCGCCCCAAATCTTTCCTCTCAAAGACAAAACTATTGTGATTTTGAAAATGAAGGCATAACATTGCTGGCTAGTTTCTTTTACAAAATTAATTTTTTAAAAATATTGTTGTTGCAGTAGTCATTATGAGGCAAGAGAGTAAGTTTATAATATACCATAAAGTACCTTTTACAGAAAAGACAGCTAACACATGGGTTAATGAAAATTATTCTTATTTCTTCCTTCATCTCACAATCAAAGACTTGTCATTATGTCCCTTGTTTGGGTGATGTGATTGGCCAGCCTAACTTGTAAACTCATATATGTTAACATCTTACATAAAAAATGCAGTTCATCAGAAGGTGTGAAGTTGCAATCACCCATTCCTGTATGATCAGGATATTTCAGAACACTGTTTTCTACCGCATCAGTTAATGAGGCATGTAATGAGTCCATCAACTATATGATTTCATATAACATATCAGATCTTGACTGTGTAGATGGTAGAATAATCTCCAAGGTACATATTTTAAGCCCGTCCTTCAATTTACTCCATTTGTAAATGTACATTGCACACAACCAAATACTTATGATAAAATGAAATCAACTTCATTACCAAGCAAAGGAACGATAATTTGAAACATGAAGATAATTTCAGAGTGACCTCAATGTACTTTGCTGGGAGGTGCAGTTTTACAGAGTTGCTTCACCAGCACTGCAGCTGATAGGAACCATTAAGATTTAACCAATCCATGCAGAACATTCAAAATCTAGTAGCATTGTGTATTAATCAAGGCAGAAAATTAACTGGCAGCTTCTTCATTCCATAGCTGGCTTTTAAGACAATAGGAGCTGACAGAAAAATCACACATTTATGATGGTGGCTTTTTCATCTGAAAAACTTAACACAAAGGCTTGCTCTGCTGAAAGCCAAACATGTGTTTAATGAAGCTTCACTTTAATGCAAAATGGCTTATATAGGAAATTAAAAAAAAGTGAGGATTTGTAGAAACACAGAAAGTGGAGCTGATATTTTATACACACATACAAACACACACACACACACACACACACACACACTCCTGTTTGCATCAAGGGAGAAAAAAAAGACACATCCAAAATGATAGGGAGAAGCAGTCAGAAGGGATTAGAAAGCAGAATATTCCACCCTGCCTCTTGCTTTGCCATAGTAGGTTGCTTAAAAGGCAAGAATGTTCTAAAAACAGATGGCAGCAGATCTCTCCTCCGGCACTCAGCTCTGACCTGATTTCTCATTCAAGGATGAAGAGCTATATATGCGTTAGCCCGTTACTCCTCTGAAGTAAAGTGGGGAACCAGTGTCCTTCAAACATCAAAGCTTTAGGCATTTTTTTAGCTCCCTGCCCTGATGAGCTAAAATGAACTTAAGTATTCCAGTGCAACCTCATATACAAATTTATATTGTTCCTGAAAGAGATAAAAGGAGAACACAGTGATAAATCAAGATAATATTCAAGTGACTCATTCTTTCAATCCACTCTACTTTAAGATCAGGTTTAGATTCCCAAAGCTCCAAAAATCCTATACACAGATACAGGATTCCAAATTTGCATTCAGTGTTCCATGTTAACTTAGAATATTATTGCTCCATTTCATCAAATTGCTAAGGTAGAAGAATATGGGCAATATTACAAGTAGCAATTTAGATTACAGCACGATCAGATTGAAATGTCTTCAACCACCCACATCAAATAAATGCATTGTTTTAAAATTTCAAAGGCAAAAAAGATTTATTTTTTTAAAAAAAAGACAAATACATATGGGTCTACCACAAAACCTGCACTTCCCCTGCAACCTTGGCTCTTTTCTAACTCGTGGATTTCAACTCCCAGAATTCCTGAGCCAGCCATGCTGAGGGGAAAGGGGGAGGTTTCCAAGCTGAACAGTGCTGGCTCAGGAATTCTGGGAATTGCTTCCAGTTCGTCACGTGGGCGCCATGGATGGCTGGGAGACTTGCTCTCTCTCCCCCGTTCAGTTTCACATCGCTGGGGGCCCCTGAAAAGGGCCGAAAGTCACCCCAAAGAAGCGACCAGCAAGGAGAGGCTTTCACTGGATCACGGGAGAGCAGCAACTCTCCCGTCAGAGCAGGCGATCCCTCCAAACCAGTGGATGAAAGGACCAGCCATAGAAATATGGTTCGTCCCTAGGCTGCTAACAGCCGAAGTCACATTACCATCTGGCAACTTCAAAGCAGCGTGGACAGGACTGGGTGAGGTTTGCCTCTCTTACATCCTAATTACTTAATTACCTGCAAAAGCTGCTAAAGTACTTCCCCCCCTGTGGTGAGGGAAGGGGGATTCTAGCCCTCCCTCCAGAAACAGCAGCAATTAACCACTCGGGAGTTTAAAATGTTGGAAAAATACTGGGATCCTAATTGGAATTCTATTTCCTAAAATTGGTGGATTATAAAATTTGTAACTTTGTACTCTCTATATTTTTTTTCTCTGATTTTCACTCTAATTACTATTGAAGATTTGGGGTTTTTCCCTCTTAAAATAGAGGGGAAAAAACTAAAAAGATCCAACTAACTCTGAGACGTAACCTGCTATTCTTCAAGAGACTTGTTGACAGCTTTGAAAATAGATAAGATATAAAGCACCCTTGAAACACCATCTGCAAAAACTCAGCTCAGCTCCCCATTTAGTGGACTTTCTGACTGTAAGTTTCTTTTTTTTTTAGTTTAATATACTATAGTGGAAAAAGAACAGGAATGGATTTCTTCTACAGAGGAAGTACAGGAACAAATTCTTTGTATGTTAAAAGCGATGATCCAAACTTTATGTATAAGTCTGGATATGCAAACTCAAACTATGACTTCAACCAAAGAATTATCTATACAGAATTCTATAAAGAAAGTGAAACAACTAAATGCTATGACAGAAGACTTAGATACTCAACAAATACAGACAATGGAAAACACAAAAAGAAACTGATAATAGAGAACAAGGAAAGGACTTTTCTTATAAACCAGAAGGAATTTGAAGATAAAAAAGAAAAACAGATGAAAGAGAAGATAAATACTTCGGGACAACTGCATCGAACTGGAAAAACAAAGAGACTACCAGCTAAATCAACTAGTCCTCTTAAGAACTGGACTGGACTGGACACTCTTATCAACATCAAACAATAGCCACAACAATACAAGGAGTTTTTGTTTGAGGATTTAAAGGCAAAGATACGAAAAATGACCTGGCAGAGAAAAAAAGCTAGAATAAGATTGAAAAAGATTGGGGTTTTGATCTATACATGAGATTAAAATAGAATATATCTAAATGGATAGAATATGTATTCTGAACACAAGATATTGTAAAGATTTGAGATAAAGAAAATTTTGGTCACATAAAATCTAGAAATATATTGAAATAAGAATATTATACTGTCTTATTAGATTGGTAAGATAGATGGTAGAATTTATATACAAGGTGTGTATTTTAAATATTAGAATGTATGAGGAATTGTGATAAAGGAATTGTGTTTAATTAAAAATCTGGAAAAATAAATATTAAATGTTAAATTAAAATATTAAGGGAAAATTAACCATCAGGTTACTGATTGGCTAAAAGTTTGAATGTTTACAAATAACTAAGATTTGAATTTAAGATATTCTTATGAATATCTTGAGACAAAGGTTAAGTAAAACTTAGAAGTATAGATACTAATAATTAAATTTGTATATGGGTTTGTGGTACAAATGTTGGTGGTTTATTTTTATTTTTTTTTATTTTTTATTTTTTTCTCTTTCTGGAAAGGAAGAAAGAAAGGAAGTCCACGAGTCATAAAAGAGCCAAGGTTGCCTATCCTGGATCTAGGAGAAGACCTTTTCCAAATATCGATGAATAACTTTCTGTAAAAGTAGAGCACTTCAAAAGTCCTTCTTCTGCAGCTCCTATTATATGGAAAGCTTCAACATGTCTTGACAACTTAGTATCTGCAGAAGTCATCTCTCAAAAATGCCCTAAGTCAGAGATTCCCAAACTTTCTCAGTTCATAACATTGTGAAGTACTTTAGTGTCTCAGTAATTTTTTCATGGAATGCTATTGTACGAATGGAGTGCTAGTGAACAGTTTGGGAACCACATCTATAAGTTATTTAAAGTATCTTAAATTGTGCTTACAAAATAATCACACTCTAGTGCAGATTTTTTAGTATTATCATCATATGATTCAGTATCTTACATTGATATCCCATTTTGACTGAGTTGAGATCTTTTAAAGGGTACCCTCATGTGATCAATAATTAAGTTGCAATATGTGTATACTGTATGTGTCTATGTAAGAAACTTTCTATATTATTTGCTAGTTACCTTATTCCTACTGAAATTAATAGATATAGCTCAACTACGATTAAGTAATTTGAGAAGGAGGGGGGAGAATCCACAGGCAATAAATGGACATGCTTTCTTTCAATAGCTGGGATAAAAGGTGCCTAAAATATATGTCCACTTTATTCATGGTTATCATAATGTTTCTATTAGTACAATCTTCTGAACAGCCATATAAAAGAGAGGCAATTGTTCAATTTTATTTAAAGTAGTTAAGAACCTATACTTGACCCTGTTGATTTAAAAATTATAGACCAGTTCCAAATGGACTATTTTTAGGCTACGTTTCACCAATATATTGAAGCTCTCTTTCTGTCATCTCTCAGCTCTCTCATTATGTCATATCATATAAAGCAAGGAGACAAAATGTTCACATTGTCTGACTGAATGAGGCTGAGATGCTGGCTTGACAATTGGATTCAAGTTGGTTTAGAAGGAGTTGTATTCCCCCAGAAAGAACCCAAACATTTTCCCTGACCTTATATTGTGCCTGGATTCTCAGATGATGCTAATATCTGCCCACTGTGCCACTAGTAACCTTTCCATAACTAATCCATATATTTCCCTATTTATTTTAAGGTTATTTTATTTAAATAATTTATATTTTATTCTTTCAGTATGGTTAAAATTGGCTTGTTTGTGTTTGTTTCTTTTTCAACTCTATTCTGATTCTGAATGGACAGGCAAGCAGTATTAGGATTATTAAGTAAATAAATACAGCCTATAAATTACCACTGGGCATAGAATGTAGAATATATTATTTAAAATCTCAATAAGCAAACACATAAGTACCACCCTCAAAGATCTATGTGTCTGTGGGGCAGTGTGTTTGCTGTGTGTGTACTTGCCCATAGATATGACTTATCTCACATCATTTTCTCTGTACTAGAGAGATAACATCATAGGTCACATGTAGAACACTGAAAGTTTCTATTTTGCACCCAGAGTTTGAAAACAATTCTGAACAAAGTTTCACAGACTTTGAGTAAGGAGACTGGAAATCTTTCAAAGCAATTCTTAAAACAGTCACACCTTTCATTCAGGCTCACCTGGAAGCCTGAAAAGCTTTATTGAATAACAGAGAAGTGCTCTGACTGTACAAGGTTAAAAAAAAAAAAAAGCCTTTTTCTGAATTATTGTCGAAGTGTGCAAAACCCCTCCTTCTTTAAGGGTTTTTTGAATACTGAATTAAATGGATTTTATTTTAATAGGTTTTATTAACTATGGGTAGATGCTGTTTGCCCACCTTTCAAAACAAAAGTAATTGAAATGTATTTTAAAAGAAGTGTTCCTTAGGAGTTTTCTAAGTACATAATGCAACTTCTGCTATTATCTGAATAATACATCCAAAATAGAATCTTAGAAACAAAAAGAAACTGGAATATTTTATTTCAAGAAACAAGAAGCAATCAATCTATTATACTTACCAAAGTCTCCACCATGTTGGACTTGTTGTTCCGTAAGGTTTTCACTATGTGAAATACATCAATGATATTTTGCTGCTGGATCATTTCACACACACTACATATGGCACAGAAGGTGCCACTGCGGCCACCACCATTCCTAGCACAAATAAGAGCTGGTTTAGGAAATTACGTATGTTCATAATAGAAGAGTACTCCAAGGTGATCTAAGAGATCTACCCAAATGCAAGACTACCAATTACATGTAACAGCCATATATACAATTTAATTGCATGAATGTTTTTCATAAAAATAGTTCAATGACATTGAGATTCAGAACAGAAACAGCAGACATAGTAGCATTTTAATTTTTCTTGTTGGGACGCACAATGTAAGTTCTATCATATCATAATATATCATATCTCATCATATCAATGTGTGATATGTCTGGACCATATAATTAATAAGAACAGGTTATCATCAATATTTGGCATCCTTGGATAATTTTCACTTTCTTTTTTCCAGCTGTACCTTTTTTCCGGCAGTACAGTATTCATACTGTACATGCTGATTTAGCCATCATTCAACATTTCTCAGTGATCTAGAGTAATGAAACTCATCCATCAGACATCACAACATAAATATTCTAGGACTTAAGAATGGAGAAGGGGAGCAGCTTAGAATGACCATTGAACCAGAGTCATTGAGAGTCAGGCTTAATGATAACAAACAAACAACATACTGATTTTTAGCTCTATAAGACTATAATGCTGTATTATGCAGACATTTGGATCTTCAGGTTTTCTTTAATTATGCATATCAAACAGTACAGGGTAATCCACCAAAGTGACCATGTTTGCAATGCTTCTTCTTTTAAGACAGGCAATCCAGACTTAATACAGAAAACAAGGATGCAGAAATGCTTACAGGCAATGAACCACAGTCCGACCATCTCGCCCATCATATTGCTCCTGCCACTTTTCCAACCGCCTGACCACTTTCAGGAGAGAGCGCTTAGAAGGAGGAGTGTCTCTATATGCTGGCCAGCCAATATACTGCAAGTGTTGAACAATACGGT